ATAATGTTAATTTTTTCTTTTGTGTTATTAATACATGTCGAGGTGTATTTTAAATACTACGGCATACTATCAGCGATGAACAGACTAGTTATTTGATTAATTGTAATCCCTATGGGCGTCTAAAGATTATTATATGAGTAGCGTAGTAGCAAGCTATTGAAATTTACTTTATTATTCGTTCAACAACCGTCACTATTCATCGATGTAATTGCTTAGTCGTTATCGCAATTTTTCTATACGTTGTTAATTCACGTTCAGGGCCGGCTTTGGATTGCAACTTCGTCTGGTTTTCCTGTAAGCCAGTAACAGAAGTGTTTTGACACAAAAAAATCCAGAAGTCAGTTTGTCAACTGATTTGGAAGCCTTGAATAGTCTGTATTAATAAGTAATAAATTGTTTTGGACAGCTGAGTTTATTTGAAAAATTTATGGTGGCACAATTACGGCAAGGAAAAGTAGCTTTTTGATTGTAGTTTTTTCCTGTGGTATTTACTAAAAAGTGTCTGTGGAAGAAGATGTAGGTATTTAAAAAACCTACAAAATGACCTGTAGTGGTTAACAGTTAGATTTATAGTTTTCAAATTACGTAAAACCGATAAAATAGTGGTAATTTAAATTCGTTTATAATTAGTAAGCAATCAATCTAAAACGTCTAAAAATGCGCCGAAAAGGTAGCTCATGTACGGCACAACAGTATCCCCTGAGGTGGACGTTGTATGTATAACCGTATTTGCACAGTTGCAATTGTTTATTAGAAATTCTTTATAAATAATTTGTTGATCTGGGAGCTATCCGACAGTGTCCAACAAGAGCTTATTTTATTTGCAAAGAATTTTATTTGAGTTTTCCCATTTACAGAGCATTAATTTTTGCAATGGATGAAAGGTAAAATAAAAAAGATTGGAAATATTCAAATGGGAAAAGGCCTTTATTGACCTGCTATTATGCGAGAGTAACATGTTCTTCGGTGATAAGCAAATTTTAGCTGACCGAGAAGGTTACAGTATTAGGCTGCGTTAGTGGTTCTTCGCTCGTGCATAAAATCGACCAACAGCAACCCCTCTCCAGTTCCAGAAAACCATGAACTGTGCCTGCAGACAAACGTGTTTTCAGATTCAATTGGTTTAACTCATAATTGCACCGTTATGCTTGCTCATTTTGATGTTGGTGTGTAATGGTTTTGCGCAAAAAATCTTCACTGACGATGATGATTTATATTTTTGACACGGTTACGCCTTTCGTTAAGTTCTTTGCATCAAACGTGACTATGAAAGCGTTTCATTTCCGGAGTATGCTTTCAATATGCGTAGAATTTAAGTTGGTTTCACGTTTTCGAGTGTAAGGAACTTACTAATAATTCGTTGCACAACGCTGCTATGCACCTCCTTCTCAGTCGTTGTGATTGCTACTAAACATTGGATATTTTAGTTTGTGCGACAATTTTTCCAGTTATCAGTCTCATTTTCTTTACTTATTATCTCTTCAACCTCCAATACATGGCCGGCCTAAAAGAGCTTTTGACCTTTTGACATATTTTGGCCACACTGACGGTCATGATTGATTGACCGGAACCCATATTTTATAACTTTTATCATGTTCNCGCGATTCCGAAGTTTTACCTTTGTTCAATTGTAAATGATTGTAAAATTACGTGTAATATAGTGCCTTTGAAAAGGGTGTTTTCAAACAAATTCACGCTACCTATAAATGTTTAATCTATGATTTGTCTATTATCTATGAATTGTCGTTCACGTGTATTCTATGCGTGTATTCACGTTGAGTTTTAAGGTTATTTGTACTTGCTTATTTATTTATATAAGGTACGGATTTTTAAATTTCTTCTACATTTATTTATTAATTTATTAGAAAATCGACGGTAGTGTCTCCCTTTTACAATGTTTAGTTAAATGTAACCAGTAAGAAGGAAATAAAAAGTTAATTAACAAAGTAAACGAAAATGCTTCTTTTGAGCAGAAGAATGTAATGTAAACAGAAAAGTTTTTCCTGAGTTTTATAAGGTGGTTTATCTTTTGCATCGATAATCATATAAAATAAGAGGCGAGGTATAATGGACGAAAATCTATTCTAATCTGTAGACGATTTTGAAGAACGTTTTTTAATTTTTGAAGATCTGAAAAAATTTACATTAGGTACGTGCTCATTGAAGTTGGACTTGGATAAGGAAACAGTACATTGCAATATTTAACAGTGAAATGTAATTTTTGTGTTTCAGTTGAGAAGTCATTAATATTTACAAGAAACATCATTTCGGATGTAAAGACACAGAAGAGTAGGTCGCAAAATACATACATTTTATGCAGTCCAGGCATAAAAACAATCTGGTTTATCATTAGTGCAGTTGGTCAATTACAAAATGTACATAAAATGATATTGTTTGAAATTGAGGAAGCTAAAGCTGTTAATACCGAATACTACTGTATCAATCAAGAGATATATGTTGCCATTGATATTGGTATCATAGATTGAGTATATAATGTACCTGGTGCGAAGCTTCCTGTTTGTAATAGAAAAGTCAATCCTGATCATGATATGGTTGTAAGTATAAGTCCTACACACTAAAGTTAGGATAGTTTTTACTCTAGCACTATATTTTGACAAATTTGATGATCTTAAGCAATTTAACAAGCTATAGTAAGAACGAAACACTATTTGTTGACTCCAAGATAAAGTTGCAAAAGCTAAAGCAGTAGTCAGTGGTGATAGTAAATTGGATAATAGAACACAATTATTAAAAGGGTATTAATTAGGGGGTCAGTTTGAGTAACTAATTGTCCATGAGCATCTGGTACTCAACAGTGCTGCACAATGATGATACTCAGACATACGAAACATGGAAATGTATTTTTAGAATATATATGTTAACTAACCTCTTCTGTCAGAAACTTTATTGCAACAAAACGTGGTATTTTTGATCGACGAAATATTAATAAAATTTGTCTTGGTTGGTAGGTAGGTAGGTAGGTAGGTAGGTAGGTAGGTAGGTAGTAGATCTGTCTCCTTTCTGCTGTTCCGCGTGTTTGTGTCTTACTATTCCATAATCTTAGATTTGCATAAATTTAATCTTATTCCTTCTATATGACAAGGGCCAGTTTGGCCCTGATAGGATATATAGCTATACAACACTGCATCCAATCACCTGGTAATTAGTACGATTCATATCTTTGTACTCATGGATTGTTTGTTGTTTGTTAGGTTATATTAAGTGTGAAGTGTGACTGACGTTGTTTATATTATAGCTAGCCTAGAGTACTTTTTTACGCGTTGTAGGCTTGTGTGTATATAATCGGTTGAAGTTATTAGCAGTAGATCAGTATTTCAGTGACATACGTCAGTGCAGAACAGTAATTTGCATTGACTAGTGCATTTCTAGAGGAACAGTTTTCTAAACGTTGGAATTGGATGTACGGGTCCTATACCTTGACAGGCGTGTAGTTTGTGCGGATCTAAATCTGCTTGATTTCTTTTAATGGGAGGATAAGACTATTGGCGAACCACCCATTAAAGAAAGGTAACACACCTTGGCAATACCTCAATGGTGGTTTGGAAATTTACCTTACAATTAATAAAGTTACTATTAGCTATCTAGAGAATGTTAATTTACGTATTAAACTTTACATAATGTTAATTTTTTCTTTTGTGTTATTAATACATGTCGAGGTGTATTTTAAATACTACGGCATACTATCAGCGATGAACAGACTAGTTATTTGATTAATTGTAATCCCTATGGGCGTCTAAAGATTATTGCCCCGATAGGAACCTATATTGTTACCTATGCTATATTGTAGAGGGTAGTAATAGTAGTTGATAGAGTAGATACTAGCTCTATATCTCAGTTAATTGAGGGGCTATTTGAGAAAAAGTCTCCGAAGACGACTTTTTTTCAAAGTGGTATATCTTTGTTAATTTTAAAGCTAGGAAAATCAAACCAATTTCAGTGTTTACGGTACACTTTCCAGTTTATTTTGTAGCAATTTACTATGAGCCAAGCCTAAAAATTAATTGAGGGGCTATTTGAGAAAAAGTCTCCGGAGACGATTTTTTCTCAAAGTGGTATATCTTTGTTAATTTTAAAGCTAGGAAAATCAAACAATATCAGTGTTTATGGTACACTTTCCAGTTTATTTTATAGCAATTTACTATGAGCCAAGCCTAAAAATTAATAACTTTTTTTTAATTGATTTTTATCAGATCTAATTGAATAACCACTTTGAAAAAAATATATGATAATTATCTACACCTTGCCTAACAGCATGCCAAGTTTCATTAAATTCCAAAAGGTGCAACATATCGAAAAAAAATTAAAGTAAGTGGACCACCTTACGACCACTATGTTGACGCTTTTAAATTATATTTCAATCATTTTCGGAAAAGTATCGTTTCGACAGCTTATAAAAAGTATATATTAGCGGTTGGTGCCATCAACTAGACTATTGCAATATTTTGTCGATCTACTTTTATAGTGACTAGCTTATCAGTGTACACGCGCGTGCATGTTCGTACATGATCACAGTGCATAGTTGTGGTAGACACTTGCTGTAATTATTTATGCAGTTTTACGAATAATTTAGTGGCGTATTGTTCATTTTTAAAAATATACATATAATAATCAGTGAATAAAACAGTGACGAAGATTTATATCGACAATGCCTGGGAAATGTAGTAATTGTAGTTTTATATTGCGGAAGACTGGAAAACGAAAGAAAACATTGCAAACCGAAGATGAAGTGTGTAAATACAACGTTTTTCAAATGAAACGACTTAAAGTTGGAGATGTTCTGTGTCATAAATGTCGATTAATTTCGTATTCTAAATCATCGGCTACTGATGATACATGTGCAGGACCTCCTCATATTGATATAGAAACAGAACGACGTGATATTTTACAGTTTAAATCAGCGGACGAGGAAGAGTGTTATAATGATGATGAAGATGATTATAACAATGCAGTTGAAGAAGGTAATTTCAAGTCATAAATACTGTATTTTTTGTAACTCTACATCTAATATTAAAACGATACCAATAGAGACTCGATATCAAGCCTTTGTTAAACGAAGNGTGAAGGAGGAATGCATTGACTTTTAACGGGTTTGTTATTATCAGGCTCGAACTTACTGAGAAACATCCTTCAGTCACCTTTCTTTTTTTAATAGCAATAAAAGGCAGTTCCATCAATAGTATTTAAAAATTCATTTAGTCAAATTAAAACAAAGACATTAATAAAAAACAAGACTAATCTAATGTGAAGGATGAATACATTGACTTTTAACGGGTTTGTTATTATCAGGCTCGAATTTACTGAGAAACATCCTTCAGTCACCTTTCTTTTTTTAATCAGCAGCATTGCCGCAACACTAAATCCACGTTCACACAAACACAATGATGGGAATACTATTAAAACTTGAACAATACACGACAATCTTAGGTAAAAATGCGGTAGTGGTTTTTGTAGTCGAAATTTTTTGTAGACATTTTTGAATTTGATATTTATTCGTTGTCAGTTCTATAAGTTCTTCTTCCAAGTGGGATCATTCTGCAGTGTTGAAATTTGAAAATGTATCCCCGGTTCGGTATCTCCAGTTTTAAAATGTGCTAGAATTGATCATTGAAATCACTGTGGAGGTTATCCAAATGTTGCAGGAGGTAAACAAGCAAGTCGTCGCTGTTGATGAATTAGGGAAATTGTGGGATTAATGTCTGCTAAAATTTTTCACCTGTAAGAGCTGGGGATGCAACGTAGAGAAGTAAATATTAGGAAGGGAGTCAGGCAGGGATGCACACTGTCACCGCTACTTTTTAATCTATACAACGAAGACGCCATCAACATCATTAAAGACAGTACAACTGTAGGGATAGACGTGCAAGGGCAAAAGATTAGTATGCTTAGATTTGCAGATGATATAGCAGTATTNGTACGTACGTACGTATGTACGTACGTTCGTATGTCAGCATTTTTTTCGTTTTCGATATCTCAAGAACGGATTGAGATATCGCCCTCAACCAAAATTTTTTCGAAAGATATTATCATAATGAAGATCTGAAAGAAATTTGAACGAAATCGGTCAAGCCGTTTTTTTTTTATAAAAAAAAAAACGAATTAATTACAAACAATTTAATTAAAATACGTTCTAATCTAATCACAACAATGAAGTTACGGAATCAATAATAACGAAATATCATTATTCAAGACAGGGAATAACATATTATAATAACATATTATAATAAAAATTTGTTTATAACAAAATGAATTGTTATAAACAATCGATAAACAATAAAAAATAGTATTTACCAATTGACTGATGCAAGTACTCTATCAATTCGGTTTTCTCAGACGAAATACTGTTTCTTATGGGTTTATAAAATGACGAACTCTCAAACATTGTTTGTTATTTATTATTGTGCCGCGTTTTTTTCAAACTTTAGAAACGAATGTACTTTACAATAACTGTATTATCTAATGGGAAGTTAGTCGTATTAGCACCGACCAAAATGTGCTCAGACCAATTTTTTATTTTTGATCATACTCGCACCCACGGTTTCTGGTTAGAACAGAACAGAAACGACTTCATATAAATATTTTAGAGTTACAAGCCGATTTCAATGCAACTCAGTGCTTTGCTGGTTTTTTAGAAGATTATAACATATTACTGCGTTGCTACAACACCACTGCCATATCGTCCATAAACAAAATGAGTAGCATTCAATTTTCCCACTTAAATGCTTTATGCACTTAGATGGAGAATGGTCCCTATCTCAAAAAGCTTTCGACCATTCAGTAAAAAATTTTGGTAAACTGGGGATTGACCTTGTCTGGCAATTTTGTGGCCACACTGACGCTGCAGCAGCGCCTCTCAAGAACTAGAAACCAAACTTCGCCAAGGTAACAGCAACGCCTCTATTGGCGAGTTCAAGACCTGTGAGCAAGCGGGTTTACAAGGAGTCAAGTTCCAGCCTTCGTTTTTGGCGCTACAGATGTATAATTATTTTATTCTTTTAAATCATAACTGTTCATTTCTATTGTAACTAAACAACTAATAAATTATAGTAGTGGTAAACTCTAGTGAACATTAAAACCGCTACATTTGGTGACCCTTTTGTTTTCAAGATATTAAAAAAAGCTTCATTGAACCACGCAGTTCGTGATGTCTCTAGTACACACGCCAACCAATGCAGCTGATTACACTGATAGTTTTGACCAATTGAGGAGTTTCTGACATACCAATGATCAACTCGATACGAATTGATCGAATATACAAAATAATTTAAGTGGCAAGCACAGTATTGAAACACAGCAATATCAATTACAAAATCCGCCTTTAAGCAATGCGGGTTCTTCCAAAAATGGCGACTGTAGAGAACAAGGTCAAGTTTATGGAGGAAAACTGCCCCCGATAGGAACCTATATTGTTACCTATGCTATATTGTAGAGGGTACTAATTGTAGTTGATAGAGTAGATACTAGCTCTATATCTCAGTTAATTGAGGGGCTATTTGAGAAAGGTCTCCGGAGACGACTTTTTTTCAAAGTGGTATATCTTTGTTAATTTTAAAGCTAGGAAAATCAAACCAATTTCAGTGTTTATGGTACACTTTACAGTTTATTTTATAGCAATTAACTATTAGCCAAGCCTAAAAAATAGTATCAAAAAACGCAGATAAGTTGTTTTTTAATTGATTTTTATCAGATCTAATTGAATTACCACTTTGAAAAAAATATATGATAATTATCTACACCTTGCCTAATAGCATGCCAAGTTTCATTAAATTCCAAAAGGTGCAACATATCGAAAAAAAAATTAAAGTAAGTGGACCACCTTACGACCACTATGTTGACGCTTTTAAATTATATTATATTTCAATCATTTTCGGAAAAGTATCGTTTCGACAGCTTATAGAAAGTATATATTAACGGTTGGTGACATCAACTAGACTATTGCAATATTTTGTCGATCTCTCTATCAGTGTACACGCGCGTGCATGTTCGTACATGATCACAGTGCATAGTCGTGGTACGCACTTGGTACACCTTGCTTAACAACATGCTAAGCTAATGATCTGCTCTGATAATTAAAAAATAACTTTTATTAGTCATCATCACTATTTTCATTAATTACAACGTGATCGCTATTTATAGAAAAAAGACTGGATAATATTTCTGCTGGGCGAACTATATGAGATTTATATCTTGCATTTGATAAATAATATGTAATTGCCGCCACGTGAGAGCAACACCCAACTGTTCGATTTCCATTTGCACAGTTACAGCAATAACGCTGAATATCTTCGTGGCTGTTTCCATTGGGGTTGTAGTCAATGTAACATCTGTAGGTCTTACTATTAACGTATCGCGATTTTACTTGTACTTTTAGAATGTTAGGTGCATTTTTGACGTACAGCACATGAAAATTATTGTCTTTTCCCATGAGTTCAACTAAATAAGAAATGGCTTGTGAAAGCTGATAGGTACCAGTGAAAAGTATTTTTAACTCTTCTTCAGAAAGTTCAGGAAAATCAGAAACTTCTGAAGCCAAAAGTCGATTAAAAGGTTGTGTTCGTCGATCCCAATTGTGAATCAGCACCTCGTCGGCAAGTGTATTTGTCATGGTTTGTGCATCATTCATGGATTTAATGATTTTATCATGTAAGTCAATGTCGGAAATATGTCTTTTACCATATGTATTTTGTAGGTATCCAGTAATACGGCAAAGGGACCTTACGTTCGTAACATTTTGTTGTCTAAAACATTATCTAGGAGCCGGAACTTTTGCGAAATTGCGCCGTGGACCGCCTCAACAACCCATCTTACTTTTGTCACTTTCCTAGACTCATTAGCTTCAGCAGTTGTAAGTTGATGCCGTTTTCCTTTTAGTGCTGGCATAAGTAGTTTGTAGCCTTTCTCGGTAACGTATGACTCAACGTCTCTAAATCCACGCTCTGCAATTATGAAATCGTTTTGATGCAAAAGAGTTTGCAAACCAAGAGGATCATCCAATAAGATTTTCATTATTGTAGCATCATTTTGTGTTCCATAATAGGGGCCTGCCAAATCTATTATGTATCCATCAGTAGCGCAAATTGTAAATGGCTTACATAAATGCGATTTCTTTTGTCCTGAGTAAGATTTGCGTTGGTATTCGTTATTTGTGCTTTTCATGAAAAATATATGTGCCATCACAAATAATTAACAACTGATCATCACTAGTGTTGAATAAAGCCTTCGATATACTAGTCGTATGATTTTGAATTAGCTTTTGTCTTGATACCAAAATGGAATGGTAAAATATCTTTTTCGAAACTTCGTATTATTTGTTTGCAATAATCTGAAACTTGTTGCTCTCGTTTCAAATGTAATATTGAAGATATTATTTTATTTGAAATACCTAATCGTAATTTCATTAAAAAAATCACTAATGCCTGAATAACGTTGCGCGAAGGAGAAGACTTTAATGATGTTAGAAGATTCGACAGTTCCATGATGTTTTCCCAACTTAATCCAGTATACACTTTTAGTTTTTCTTCGGGCATAGTAAAATCACCTACTTGGTTAAACAGAGTAACTTCAACCTTTGCTGAAAGTAAATCTAAAAATATTGAGACTTCTTTTGCAGATAAATCACTGTAATTGGAGTAAACGCGCAAGCGTGACAGTTCATCTTCGAAAAACTTGTTTTTTATTAAATGTTGAGAGCAACAACGGTCTCCATTCGGAATGAAAATCCTTCGATTAATAAAGGCTTGATATCGAGCCTCTATTGGTATCGTTTTAATATTAGATGTAGAGTTACAAAAAATACAGTATTTATGAGTTGAAATTACCCTCTTCAACTGCAGTGTTATAAAGTCTTCATTAAAACTGTGACGTACACGAAAGTCTTCATCATCATCATCATCATCATCATCATTATAACACTCTTCCTCGTCCGCTGATTTAAACTCTAAAATATCACGTCGTTCTGTTTCTATATCAATATGAGAAGGTCCTGCACATGTGTCATCAGTAGCCGATGATTTAGAATACGGAATTAATCGACATTTATGACACAGAACATCTCCAACTTTAAGTCGTTTCATTTGAGAAACGTTGTATTTACACACTTCATCTTCGGTTTGCAACGTTTTCTTTCATTTTCCAGTCTTCTGCAATATAAAACCACAATTACTACATTTCCCAGACATTGTCGATACAAATCTTCGTCACTGTTTTATTCACTGATTATTATATGTATATTTTTAAAAATGAACAATACGCCACTAAATTATTCGTAAAACTGCATAAATAATAACAGCAAGTGGGTACCACGACTATGCACTGTGATCATGTAGGAACATGCACGCGCGTGTACACTGATAAGCTAGTCACTATAAAAGTAGATCGACAAAATATTGCAATAGTCTAGTTGATGGCACCAACCGTTAATATACTTTTTATAAGCTGTCGAAACGATACTTTTCCGAAAATGCTTGAAATATAATACAATTTAAAAGCGTCAACATAGTGGTCGTAAGGTGGTCCACTTACTTTAATTTTTTTTCGATATGTTGCACCTTTTGGAATTTAATTAAACTTGGCATGCTGTTAGGCAAGGTGTAGACAATTATCATATATCTTTTTCAAAGTGGTAATTCAATTAGATCTGATAAAAATCAATTAAAAAACAACTTATCTGCGTTTTTTGATACTATTTTTTAGGCTTGGCTAATAGTTAATTGCTATAAAATAAACTGTAAAGTGTACCATAAACACTGAAATTGGTTTGATTTTCCTAGCTTTAAAATTAACAAAGATATACCACTTTGAAAAAAAGTCGTCTCCGGAGACCTTTCTCAAATAGCCCCTCAATTAACTGAGATATAGAGCTAGTATCTACTCTATCAACTACAATTAGTACCCTCTACAATATAGCATAGGTAACAATATAGGTTCCTATCGGGGGCAGTTTTCCTCCATAAACTTGACCTTGTTCTCTACAGTCGCCATTTTTGGAAGAACCCGCATTGCTTAAAGGCGGATTTTGTAATTGATATTGCTGTGTTTCAATACTGTGCTTGCCACTTAAATTATTTTGTATATTCGATCAATTCGTATCGAGTTGATCATTGGTATGTCAGAAACTCCTCAATTGGTCAAAACTATCAGTGTAATCAGCTGCATTGGTTGGCGTGTGTACTAGAGACATCACGAACTGCGTGGTTCAATGAAGCTTTTTTTAATATCTTGAAAACAAAAGGGTCACCAAATGTAGCGGTTTTAATGTTCACTAGAGTTTACCACTACTATAATTTATTAGTTGTTTAGTTACAATAGAAATGAACAGTTATGATTTAAAAGAATAAAATAATTATACATCTGTAGCGCCAAAAACGAAGGCTGGAACTTGACTCCTTGTAAACCCGCTTGCTCACAGGTCTTGAACTCGCCAATAGAGGCGTTGCTGTTACCTTGGCGAAGTTTGGTTTCTAGTTCTTGAGAGGCGCTGCTGCAGCGTCAGTGTGGCCACAAAATTGCCAGACAAGGTCAATCCCCAGTTTACCAAAATTTTTTACTGAATGGTCGAAAGCTTTTTGAGATAGGGACCATTCTCCATCTAAGTGCATAAAGCATTTAAGTGGGAAAATTGAATGCTACTCATTTTGTTTATGGACGATATGGCAGTGGTGTTGTAGCAACGCAGTAATATGTTATAATCTTCTAAAAAACCAGCAAAGCACTGAGTTGCATTGAAATCGGCTTGTAACTCTAAAATATTTATATGAAGTCGTTTCTGTTCTGTTCTAACCAGAAACCGTGGGTGCGAGTATGATCAAAAATAAAAAATTGGTCTGAGCACATTTTGGTCGGTGCTAATACGACTAACTTCCCATTAGATAATACAGTTATTGTAAAGTACATTCGTTTCTAAAGTTTGAAAAAAACGCGGCACAATAATAAATAACAAACAATGTTTGAGAGTTCGTCATTTTATAAACCCATAAGAAACAGTATTTCGTCTGAGAAAACCGAATTGATAGAGTACTTGCATCAGTCAATTGGTAAATACTATTTTTTATTGTTTATCGATTGTTTATAACAATTCATTTTGTTATAAACAAATTTTTATTATAATATGTTATTATAATATGTTATTCCCTGTCTTGAATAATGATATTTCGTTATTATTGATTCCGTAACTTCATTGTTGTGATTAGATTAGAACGTATTTTAATTAAATTGTTTGTAATTAATTCGTTTTTTTTTTTATAAAAAAAAAACGGCTTGACCGATTTCGTTCAAATTTCTTTCAGATCTTCATTATGATAATATCTTTCGAAAAAATTTTGGTTGAGGGCGATATCTCAATCCGTTCTTGAGATATCGAAAACGAAAAAAATGCTGACATACGAACGTACGTACATACGTAC